ACCTACAGCCACGCAGCAAGCAACACCTCCTCTGAGCACGCTCCCAACCAGCTCTCTCTACTCCACGCTAGTAACCACACTGAAACTTCTCAGCACCAAGCTGCACTGTACAGCCAATATAATATGTATACAGAGAATGCATTGTGAGTTTCCTTTCTCCAACCTATCCTTAGTGTGAACCAACATCTTGAAACCCCACAAATGGTGACCCCCGGAGAATCGCACTCACACAGGATGGAGGAGAAACTGATCACTCTCCCAGTCTTCAATCACAACATTGAAGACTGGCTTATCCACACGGAGGCAGCTCTCATCGGCTCTACAGCTACAGTTCATACACCGCAGGTTAGACACCCTAGAGCAGCTCTGCTCCTCCAAGCATGCAGCTGCTCCTCTTCCTGCCCCAAGCACCACGTCCTACCGACCCCAACACACCCGTCCTGCCTCAGACGCCGCCCCCAGCCCCCAGCACAGTGTATCTACCCCCTGTTGGTACCATCAACGTTTTGGTGCTAACGCTAGACGCTGTGAGGCTCCCTGCAACCACACGGCGAAGCGACATCGACGGAGACGGGTAGGCGCCATAACCTCCACCACTATCAAACAGCACATCACACGCCTTACTTCTGTCCTTGACCACTTCAATCCTGCTGCCCATCACGACCTACTACAAACACTACGTCAGGCGGTTTCTGCATTCAAGGTTACTGCTCCACGCCAGCCTTCCAACCGCCCTGAACACATTCATCCCGCACCTCCTCCGCCAGTCTGCCCACCATTACCCTTTGCAGCACCACCTCGCCCACAACATTTCTGGGCACCCTCTTTTCTTCCTCAGGTACCCACTGCGCCTGTCTTGCACCCTGCTGCTGTCATGAACCCTCCTCCTGACGTGGCCCCTGCTTCTGACGCGGACCCACACACCCCACTAGGCGCTACTGAGGACTGTGTACCTGCCGCGAGAGAAGCACCACATTCCTCGCCTCCACAACCCTCCTTCTCCCTCTGCTTCTCCCACAGATCTCGTGTCTCTAGACAAAGTTGTCTCCCGTAGCGGCCGGCTCATCCACACCCTCGCCCGTTATGTCTCACATGTGGGATACAACCCTGCCGACAACAAGTCTCCTGCACCGCCCGTTATACCTCACATGTGGGATACAACCCTGCAGACAACAAGTCTCCTGCACCGCCTGGAGGGAAGGGGGAGTATTGTAGTGGGAATTTCCCCGACAACTTCAAACTACAACTGCCGTTTGTCGCTGACTAGCCAATGCCTTTTCGAATTCCCCAGCCAACGCCTCGTGGTCTAAGGTCGGCCACTAGCGCCGCCTAACAAAGCGGAGGTCAACTATCAAGCCACACCTACCCCCGCTATATAAGACCTCACCTCGCCGTGACCTGCCCTTCTTCTACCTACAGCCACGCAGCAAGCAACATCTCCTCTGAGCACGCTCCCGAACCAGCTCTCTCTACTCCATGCTTGTAACCACACTGCCACTTCCCAGCACCAAGCTGCACTGTACATCCAATACAGAGAGCACATTGTGAGTTTCATTTCTCCAACCCATCCTGAGTGTGAACCAACATCTCGAAACCCCACAGTATCAAAGATGTATGGAGAATAACTCGAGATCATGTAAACGCTATTATAAATTTTAAAATGCTTACACAGAAAATTTGGCATATTTTAAATTATGAGAGAAACACATAATATTATATACTGTATAAGTTTTCACAGCCACAATTGTTTTCATCATCCTTACTGCAATAACAACTGAGAAGCTGCGGGTATCGTTTGAAGTGTCCAGCGAGCAAAGGAAGAAACCTTTCCTTTGTTTTTTGTTTTTGTTTTGTTACGGGGAATAGCCCACCCGGGCACAGGTCATCGACCCCCAACGGGGCCTCGGGGGCGAAATAATAAGAGTAAAAAGAAATTAAAAATAGAAAAGAAAAAGATTATATTAATTTACACCACGAAGATGCATGAATTTCCGTTTTACACCAGTCGTTCTTACCAAGTTTACATAATATTCTTCGAGATTTCACTAAACATCTGTAGTGGACATCTCCCCTACAACTGCTATCCGCATTCCGATGCGCCGCCGTATCCTAGCAACCAAAAGAGCGATGACAGCAGATGGTACGGTAACTTAGCAACGAAACTAGTGACTGGCGACTTTCTCGGGTTTTCCCAACATGACTCATAGAGGACTCGCGGCTGCTGGGTATATAAGCTCTGTCTCTCCATTGAGATTCATTCTGACCATCTTCTTGAACAAGCAACACCTCCTCCTCCGCCGCTGCCTGGTAGCCCTCGCTTCTCCTCGCCTGCCTGGCGGTCCTCGCTCCCGCCAGCGAGCATGGCGACCCACCAGCTGTCCTTCTCTGAGCTTTCTCATTCTGGTCTCTCTTCTTGAACAAGCAACACCTCCTCCAGCAAGCTCCACGCTGTCAGCATTCATTCAACCAGGAGGCCAGCAACAGGCAACATCTTCTCTAACGAAGCTCCTGCACATCTACCTCCTTCAACACGCTACTCACCGAACGTCTCTACTGAGCAGCTCCTCACCACACGGCACCTCCAGCACCAGACTGTAAATCATATAACTTATATTATACAAGAAAACCACCTTAGAGTTTCCATCCATCCTGAGTGCTAGACAACGTTATAACACGAATTCCTACACATCAGTTAATTACATTGTTGGCAAATTATTGAACAGTGAATCTAAGACACATTTAATGTAAAAGAAATGGCAAGGAAGTTTAACTATACACACCGATGCTCATTTTGTTTATTAATGTGTTTCCAACAGCTTGTAGGGTTGTGAGACTAACTTTAAAATGTCAAAATCTGCCGACGGTCACATCCGGCCCACATTAAATAGGAATCAGTGGGACATTAGTTGAATAATAAATAAAACACTTAATCTGGCAGGGGTCTAGTTAAAATTTTTCCTGTAGCCTTTTTACCATTCATAAATGACTCACTGAGTAAACAACCACGGGCGTCTAACGTAAGAGGTAAGCATGTCTCTCGTTGAACAATAATGTCCATAGAAGAGATGACTTGCGACAGTAGGTCATCGTAATGGGTTATAATAGATATATTGACGAAGTGGGATTAAAAAAATAGACCCTTTCCTCTGATTTTTTTTGTATTTTTTCTTTCATTTTCTGCGTGAAGTTTTTATCTAGTGAGGGGAGTCGGGTTGCTTTTTGGTAACCTGTACATAAGAACATATGAATGAAGGAAACTGCAGCGGGCCCTTTGGCCCATACTGGGCAGTCCCATTTACACCCAACCCCTATTTCTCATATATCCATCCAACCTATGTTTGAGGCTATCCAGCGTGTATGATGGTTATCAGCATATATTGGCATCACGCGCACCTACAGTGATTTACTTGCATATATATATACATATATATATATATATATATATATATATATATATATATATATATATATATATATATATATATATATAATATATATAGTGTGTGTGTGTGTGTACAATGGAAACGAGGACAAGATAAATCTCGATAAAGCTACACAGGAAAGGGAAACACTGGAGCACCTTAGCTTTCGTCTTTATTCAAGACATCTTTAGAGGCAACTGAATTTGCAGGGACTGAGAGGGTGACCTACATAACAATAGGTCAGTCAATAACATGGTTTCCACTAATCCACACATCACCACACGAAAGAGATTATAAAAAATTAGCAACGTAACAAGTAGGGTCAAGTCAAATCAAGTCAAGTAAAAAACTTGAGACCCACTAATTTTAGAATTAGGGAAGGCTAAGCTAGTTTACGTTAAGAAAACTTCAATAATAAAATTGTCATTGGTTAAACATGGTCTAAAACGTTTTGGGCTAAAACATGAGGCGTCGAAACGTTCATTTTATAAAACATCCAGCCATGAATGTGAGAGGCGAAAACGTCCTTGATAAAATGCGCAGGAGCAACATCCCATACTAAAAAGTACAGTACGGGACAAAATCATCCAAGAGTACAATACCCAGCTCAGAATATTCTGTACAGTACATGTACCGACACTTATCTATGGAAGAATAAAACATCTAATAAAATATCTTCAATAAAACGTGAGAAAGGGAAACGTAGGTTTGTCTGTCCAAAAATGGGTGAGTTATGGGACGTGATGGACGATGTCGTAGACGGGGTTCGTCTTTCTAGTCAGGCTGTGGTGAGTCATATACAGTGCTAGTTCCTGCGTGACTCAGTGGTCAGTGTTCCTTGGTGCCTGGCCTCTTCTAAATGTTTAATAGTTCCTCCCTTAGTTAAGAAGTGATTGATAGGTTACTTGAAACTAGAGATTTGTGAATGACGAAAAGAGGGCGAGTGTAAGTGTAAATTGTATATTTAGAATTTGATTGGGGCTTCGCGGTGGCCTAAGTTTATGGGGATGATTTGTATTAAGATTTATCTGGAATTGTATGTTCACACACACACGGGTATATTATATATATATATATATATATAATATATATATGAATATTTGCACTACAGCTACTCATACTTTAATGGATTGCTAGCTTGTTGCAATTGCTTAGGGCTTAAGAACTTTAAGGTGTTTCCGTGTGCTTCATCATACTTTACTTTGATGACTCATTTTAACTGAACTTAATATACAGAGGGAATATGGTGTTTATAACAGCTAGAGAAAAGCCGGAGATGGATATGATTATTAACCATAAGTATATTTTTAATTAGAATCTATTCTGTAATGTGTGCATACGGTGGTTGTAATTACATTCTTGTAATGAACTTTATAAAAAAACTTACTATCTATATCCTATTTATAAAGAAATTAATCCATATCTCCAAATTCTGTAGTAATAATCATTATACAACATTCCATTCCTTAAATAGTGAAGATAAACTTCATTAATAAACGTCACTGCTGGGTTGCCAGGAACCACCAACTTGCCTCAGATGGCGCCCCATGGCGGCACCGACGCTCCTCTGGCTCAGTTTACAAACAATAGTGACGACGGGTGGGTGATGCCCAACTTCCTCCTGGAATATTCACTCGCTATCTGGATTTATGACTCCTCGGTGACCAGAATATCTCCTTAGAACCTCATTACGAAGGTCAGTATTTATTAGTAGCTGAATTGTATGGTACAGGTGAAATGTTTCCAGTGAAATATCGCAAGAAAAACTCGTGCAGATGGCATTTGTGTTGGCCAAATGAAGGCGATGACCAGCCCTTGCAGTATTCGTCTTGACTTCCTCCCTTGGATTTGATACTCTGTTTTGCTTAACTTACCTTTCTGGTCTTCTTAAAAGTCATACATAATGTATTCCATTCAAAACGAAGAGGAACTACTCCGCCGTTAGCCACCTGGGGAACGGTATATAGAACTGAGTAAGTAGCCTTGGTACACAGGCGATGCTGGGATGTGTTTACACTGTGACGTTTGCCACCGAATGAAGCATTTTCAGCTTGGGTTTTCAACCCAAGATATTCGGATTATGCAACTTAGAAGCATAAAATGAATCTATAGCAGCATAATCTGAGGAAAATTCAGCATTCATTTATCGTGTTTACTCACAGAAAGGATTTGACAAAGTACACACGTGCATATGCTATACCCGGTGCCATAATTTAGTCATATTATGAAACTGAACATTGGGGGAATGTAATGTAGTGTATATCAAGTTAACAAATGAAATAATTGATACTGTATTAAAATTAACGGATTGGGTAAATGATTTAACTCAAATATTTTGAATCGCACGATATCCGCAATAATTTTGCGATTTTATCTTATTAAATCTCTACTGTATAATCGTTAACATAAGAGATCATTTGTGTACTGTCTAAGATATGTAAATAATTCTATATGTAGATGCCTTTTCCAGGATAGAGCAACAAATTTATTCGAAAATCGGCTATAGTATACTGTAGGTTACTTATCAGAGCTACCACGTCGTCCAGGCCATTTACTCGTCATTCTTATTCACGTAGACTTTTTACCACATCACCCAGACCATTGACCACGTTATTCTCATTCACTTAGACCTATTACGTACTACATCACCCAGACTTTTTACTACACCACCCAGACCTTTTCCACGTCATTAATATTTACTTAGACCTTTTAGCACGTCATCTAGATCATTTACCTTGTCATTCTCAGACCTAGGCCATTTACCACGTCACTCATTCTCTACAATGCCATCCTTACATCATCATTACGTCATACCACGTCATGGTAACGTCACTGACGTTTCAAGTCGTCCCTTAATGTCCGCTATTCTTACGTCATGGACATTTTATGACGTCATTTCACGTCACGTACTGTGACGTCATTATCACGCCACTGTACTATATATCATGCCATTATAAGTCACTGACTTCATGTGCTATAATGTATATAACGTCTTTTTCACGTCACGGGCTATATTTTACACCATTCTCACGTCATGCATCACACTATCATGCTACTGGGCGAGCTATATATCACGTTATCGCGTCACAGTTTATATAAAGTATCACGTCATTCACGTCTCGGGATTTTTATCATTTTTACGTCATGAGCTATACGGTATTTCGTCATTTTCACGTCACTCAAACATTCTAACACGTCATTCTCATGTCACCTTCACCTTTTAACACGTCAATCTCATATAGCCCTGATCTTTTAACAAATCATTCTTTGTCGCTCTAAACTTTTAACACGTCATTCTCATGTCGCTCTAAACTTTTAACACGTCATTTTCATGTCGCCCTGACCTTTTAACCCGTCATTCTAATGTCGCCCTGACCTTTTAACCCGTCATTCTCATGTCGCCCTGACCTTTTAACACGTCATTCTCATGTCGCCTGACCTTTAACACTTCATTCTCATGTCGCCCTGCCTTTTAACACGTCATTTTCATGTCCCTGACCTTTAAAACGTCATTCTCATGTCGCCCTGACCTTTTAACACGTCATTTTCATGTCGCCCTGACCTTTTAACACGTCATTCTCATGTCGCCCTGACCTTTTAACACGTCATTTCATGTCGCCCTGACCTTTAACACGTCATTTTCATGTCGCCCTGACCTTTTAACACGCCATTCTCATGTCGCCCTGACCTTTTAAACGCCATTCTCACGTCGCTGACCTTAACACGTCATTCTCGTGTCGCCCTGACCTTTAACACGCCATTCTCATGTCGCCCTGACCTTTTAACACGTCATTCTCATGTCGCCCTGACCTTTTAACACGCCATTCTCATGTCGCCCTGACCTTTTAACACGTCATTCTCATGTCGCCCTGACCTTTTAACACGCCATTCTCATGTCGCCCTGACCTTTTAACACGTCATTTTCATGTCGCCTTGCTTCTTACCGTGTGACTCAAGCCAAGAGATCAACTTCTTCCTGTTCACCGTCTAGAAAAAACAGTTTAGTTTTGTTTTTTGTTGTCTGGGTGTTTCTTGACACCTTAGAGCAGATTAGTCTTGCATTCCTATTGTCAGAATATAGAAGCGTCCTTCATTTCATGTGTTTTAAATTTCAGTGGTTCATATAAGCTGATTTGAAAATCGACTTGTACTTACCTGTTACTGCTCGTATGATAGAATTTCGACCATTGAATAGAATCAGCAATTCATGGTCTTTGGAGCTAAAAAGGGCGAGCAATTTTAAATGAGTTAGTTCCTGGATACCTAAGCGACTTCAACTAGCTTCCTAACACTTGATATGTTTAGGCCGTCCCACTCCAGAAGCTACGCGAACCACACTATGTCGTCCTCACACCAGAAGACACGTATCTCATCTTATGCTGTGAGAGCCACACTCAGTTACGTTCCACCAGTCAAGACGGTCAGTTGTGCTCCGTGATGTGATAATGGTTCAGATGAGGAAATTTTACTGTTGACAATGGGACTATACAGGAAAAGGAAGAAATTGGCAGCCACACGAAACAAATAAGAAAAAAAATGGATAGTACAATCATCTTTATGTATGCATGCATGTACTGCATAGATTTTTACTCAATAAATTCCAGGGAAATAAATTCAGTGTTCTAAGTCTCGCATTGCGACCTGATGAGGGGTTGCTAGGTGAATTTTCCATTCTCTTCCTTCATATCATCGACTTTGTGGATTCCTTAATATATAATTTTTATTTTAAGGACTATTGAAAAAAAATATTCATACTAGTGTTTCCTTATTTTCCATGAGTGACATTTTTTTGTGGGAATTGGATATGCTGGTCTCTTATCCGGGTTAAAGCTGGCTGTTCATCTTTTTTGCCAAATTTTACACCTAGAATTGTATTTTTGTGGTCGCTTCCTCAGTTTGCATGAGTATCACCTTTACTTATGGGACACCGGTATCTTTTAGAGTTAGACACCCCAGTCTCTCTAATTTCATATTCCAAGATTTTATCAAATTTTTCTAAATCCTAAAAAAAAAAAGGCGAATTCACGTGAAGTAAATGAAAAATTTTTGGTTAAAATCTATCACGGACTCACGGTACCAATTTTAACCCAGTCGGACTATATTTAGGAGTCGATTTACCGATGGCAAGATTTATTCCACGGACTTGGAAACAAACCTGAGCTACAAACACACGGGCACTCCTTACGGTGACGTTCATCCAGTACGCTCCGCAAATGAAATGAGAGAGGCATTAGAAGAAGATTGCATGTATATGCAGATAGGGAGGAACGCCAGTTTTCCTTATTTATTGTGCACATATTTCTTTTTGACTGTGGGTCTGAAAATTGCACCCAGAAGTTGTATTAAAGCTGTAGCGGACTAAGAAAACAGAGTCGCAGGAAGGTTGAAATACCTGGAAGGCAAGTAGTTATGGGGCAGAATACAATTAAACAGGATTTTCGCTGAAGCTGAAAGAGTATTTGAGAGGCTGGTTATGTGGGGCTTATGTACTGCATGTCATTAAACAAAACTATCAGTTAGGTTCACTTTAATGATAATATTTTTTCCCGTTATCAGATGAAGAGTTCGCTAATTTCAGGGGCAGTTGGAGTCTGTCCAGACATCAGTTGAATAGTTAGACTGATCAGTGGCCGGCTTCGGAATGAAAACCCTGAATAATATTAACATGTAAGATAACAGTTGTAGTGCTGAAGCTTAGAATCATTTGTTTCACTTTAAGGAGCGTTACTTTCTTTGTTTTAGGGCAAAACTATTTGTGAAGTTGTTATCAGATTAATTTATTCTCGGCAAATTTAGAATATAATTAAAGTTTAGATAACATGAAAGTTGTGGGGGGAACGAGTGAAAAGTTTGTTGTGGTATGTAAAAACAAAGTTTTGAGAGACAGGGTGCAAGGTTAACAAGGAGGACATCAAGGGTAACCTGGCGTGGAAGGACGTCTTGGTGGTGTGCATGGACAAGGAACTGGTCTGGCTGTACATCCCTCAGTTTCAACACTGTCGGGTGGGGTAAAGGTGGCGGGTTCAGCTTATGGGAGGGGGGGAGTTGTAATTTTAGAATGAGCCTCAAGAAGACTGCGGTAAAAATATATTTTTTAATTAAAGTGGGAATATGATTTGGTAACATAAAGGTACTGAAAGTTTCACGGACCAAAGGACCAAATTGGCGCCAACATGTCCTCGCGACTCCAGTAACCTGTGTTTTGTTATTACCAGTTAAGAGAAAATTGACGCAAGTTAGGAAAGCGAGAATTTGTGCCCAAGACCTGAAAAGCCTTGTTTATAACAACTTACTCTGTATTGCAATAATTCTCTTGACCAGACACACAGCAGCATAAAATTTGTTGGAAAAGGTGAAGCAAGGAGTGTGTTAACTGAGAATTAGGCCCGTAGTGGTACTGTGAGAGCAACGCCATCACAAGCAGCTCCTGGCATTCCCTTTCACTCCGTTGTGGCTAGCTTTTCAAACTATGCCTGGGGACTGGGGAACATCACCTTCGTTATTAATTGGAGTGACAGTCTCTCATGGTCCGACCGGTATGTAGGGGACACCTTATCGTTCTGGAATTTGAAGGGGCTGGCCCAAGCTACACCTAGTGTAGTCCAGGTTTAACCTAGAACTTCGGGAATGATTGTGATACTGGGGTAATATGTGCTGCTGCAGGGGAATGGTATGGTTGATACTGGTAGTAATTTA